TGGCTTGAATTCAGTGTTTGGGGGTCGTCTGACAAACTGTCTCCGGCCACTAGATCCAAAAAGAACAATCTTACTTTCATCAGTCCACAAAATATTGCGCCATTTCTCTTTAGGCCAGTCAATGTGCTCTTTGGCAAATTGTAACCTCTTCAGCACGTCTTTTTTCCAACAGTGGGACTTTGCGGGGGCTTCTTGCAGATAGCTTGGCTTCACATAGGCGTCTTCTAATTGCAACAGTACTCACAGGTAACTTAGAACTTCTTTGATCTTCCTGGAGCTGATTGTTGGCTGAGTCCTTGCCATTTTGGCTATTCTATCCATTCGAATGGTAGTTTTTTGCTTTCTTCCACGTCTTTCAGGTTTTGGTTGCCATTTTAAAGCATTTGCGATCATTTTAGCTGAGCAGCCTATCATTTTCTGCACTTCTTTATATGTTTTCCCCTCTCCAATCAACTTTTTAATCAAGGTACGCTGTTCTTCTGAACAATGTCTGGAACGACCCATTTTCCTCAGAATTTCAGAGAGAAATGCACTGTAACCAGCATGTACAACATTTGCTGCCTTTCTTCCTTAAATAAGGGCAATAATTACCACCTGTTTTTCAAAGAATGAATGACCTCACTAATAGAACTCCCACATTGAACATGCCCCTTTCAATTAGTGATTCAAATTACACAGAATCAGCAGCATGTATGTCATGACTGTTGGGTCTGCTGGATTTTTATTACTCTACTACACCTGCTAGTAAATTATTTGCCATGATGTAGAAATATCATTTCTACCAAAAACAGTGATTGATCAGGTTATTGATGTCTGACTGCTATTATTTTGAACACAACTGTATATAATTATATATATATATATATATATATATATATATATATATATATATTAAGGATCACATTGTCATTGCCATCTTGATAAAGGGGACTAACATATCTCCAGAACATTGATTTCCTGACAGGGGACTTTATTAAAAAATTTTGATCGGTTCGTAAGTGTTGGCTGCCAGAGGCCAAGAGTGGGACACCATTGGAAAGAGCAGGGGTCTCCAAACTTTCTAAACAAAGGGCCTGTTTACTGTCCTTTAGACTTTAGGGGGGCCAGACTGTGATCTTTGAGAGTAGAAAATGTCCTAGTGTCAGTGGAAGTAATCAATGCCATTGTTGGTGTTGGTGGGAAGAATAGTGCTCCGTCATTGGAACGAATAGTGCCCCCTCATTGATATCAGTGGGAGGAATAGTGCCCCAAGGGCCGGACAAAGGCAAGCAAAGGGCCACATTAGGCCCCCAAGCCACAGTTTGGAGACCACTGGTATAGAGCATTACATAAGATTGTGCTAGCTTTGTTGCAGAGCTGCTCATTTTTGTGTTGAAACTCCTGCCAGTAACCTGTGAGTGCACATGTTGCATGGTCGTCTGTGTCAGTGCATGACTGCACATGTCCAATTCCAGAACTGGCACCAAATACCTTGGTTAATAAGGAAAGGAATCGTAATTGCTGGGTGATCTTCAGCTATTCGTGATTCTTTTGCCAGTGTATCTTTTTTTCTGTGGTACTTGATTGCTCGTTGCTAACTCAGATTGTTCCTGGACCTCTCTCTGCCTGACTCCTGAATGTGACCTAACTCTCTGCCTGACTCCTGAACGTGACCTGGGCTCTTTCTGCCTGACTCCTGAATGTGACCTAACTCTCTGCCTGACTCCTGAACGTGACCTGGGCTTTCTGCCTGACTCCTGAACGTGACCTGGGCTTTCTGCCTGACTCCTGAACGTGACCTAGGCTCTCTGCCTGACTCCTGAACATGACCTGGGCTTTCTGCCTGACTCCTGAATGTGACCTGGGCTTTCTGCCTGACTCCTGAACATAACCTAGGCTTTCTGCCTGACTCCTGAACGTGACCTGGGCTTTCTGCCTGACTCCTGAACGTGACCTGGGCTTTCTGCCTGACTCCTGAACGTGACCTGGGCTTTCTGCCTGACTCCTGAACGTGACCTGGGCTCTCTGCCTGACTCCTGAACGTGACCTAGGCTCTCTGCCTGACTCCTGAACGTGACCTAGGCTCTCTGCCTGACTCCTGAACGTGACCTAGGCTCTCTGCCTGACTCCTGAACGTGACCTAGGCTCTCTGCCTGACTCCTGAACGTGACCTAGGCTCTCTGCCTGACTCCTGAACGTGACCTAGGCTCTCTGCCTGACTCCTGAACGTGACCTAGGCTCTCTGCCTGACTCCTGAATGTGACCTAGACTTGTTGACAGACCGCACTACCATTTGATCTCCTGTGTATGACTGCTTTTCTTTGTATGACCCTGGCTCTTCTCAAAGACAATGTGTCTCTTCTACCCACCTGTGCTTAACCTCGGTACTGCTGTCTTCCAGACCTGCTTAACAGATCCTGCCCTGAATCATCCTACCACGGGTGTACAGCCAGCCAGCTATAGATCCTTCCTGGGGTATCTCTGAGACCCGCGCCTGCCGCTTAGATATGGTTCTTGCTGACCAACTCCACAAGGAACTGTCAACCACCCAGATCCCTGACACCTGTGATACTTTATGCCTTGCACACCCTGTCACCTTGTCCAGGAGTGTTTGGACCAGAGCTGTAAAGAAAGCCCTCTCATCACTTTGGCCTCCAATCCAGTAAGTGACACAATGGTTATTTAGAAATTGCATTCAGTGATAGGGGCAAGGGACATGCATGTTGTCTACGAAACAGTGGGCATGTCCAGGAGTTGCTTAAAGGTAAATATAAAGTGCTCACAGCTTGTGCTGTCAGTACTCTGGTCTGGTTCCTTTTCAATATTCCTCTTCCATTCAACAGGTTTGCTTTATAAAAATGTATCCTAAGAAAAAAAGCAGCCGCAAGTAAATATCTATCCAAATTGCAGTTTTTTATTGTTATTCATTGGCTGCAATTTTCTTTTAGATGTATTTTTTCTCTTAGATGAACACTCCAGTCAAACGTAAAAATTTGGCATTTAAACGGCCTCAGGGGACACAGCGTACCTGCTGTGTAGAGTGCCTGAAGTTTTCATCCAGGCATTCATTTTGTACAATTAGCTGTGGCTAAATTCCTACAGTGATCGGTATCCCCTAAATGGATCTAAAGATCAATCTGCAAAAATGCTGGACAGTCATTCCCTGGCATAGACCAGTCACCTCTGTAACCCACTGCAAGCAAGGAGACACATAGCAGGCACTGCCAATGACAGGCACTGCAGTCTGCATAAAAAAAAGTCTTGTGAATCCGGTCCTATGGGATTCTAAAACTAGCGCAAAAGTGTACCCCGTTATATGTATCAGTGAGATATACCATGGAGAAAATGTGGTGGTGCTACGGCAAATCACAGTGATTTTTCTATTCAAAGGTATATTTTATCCTTTATTATTTTATAATACCCACAACTAACTGAACAGTTAGAGAAGACAATAAACCCTCATTCTATTCCCCAGCCAATATTTCCATTGTTGAACGAACATGAAAAAATTGTTTTTGATTATAAAATGCTAGTGAGAACATGAATAGCCAAAGTGACAATGCATCTCTGAAATATTTAAAGAGAATGGACCCCGAGTCATTATGGTTTTCTTTTAGTCAGATATAAAAAAATTATGAAAAGTAGGCATGTAAAAATATGAAATCCTCTTTAAAAATTACTTGCGAACTTTCGGCATGTATGCACAAAAAACATAACCTCCCCTTTTAGCTCCCCCTGCTGCCTCCACCACTCTTGCTGATAATTCCTAGCTGAACATAACCAGTGCAAAATGGGAGTCTAAACAGTGTAATAAGCAAGGTCCAGAAGTCTAGTTAAAAAATACAGTGTAATATTATAATTACTTTGTATTTACTCATTGTTTTTAATAAGCAGATCAAAAGGGGTGATCTTTGATCTGCATATGATGTCAGTTGAATACTTAAAAAAAGAATTTTTTTTTTTTTTAAAACATACTATTTAACTCTTTGATAACACTTATTAGCCCTATTTAACCCCTTCACCTCCTTCTCCTTTTAGCTATTTGTTTTTTTTTTTTTTGCTATGATTTTTTTTTTTGTTGGTTAAAAAATAATTTTTTAATTTTTTTTGTTTTTAGTGCCTATATATATATATATATATATATATATATATATATATATATATATATATATTGTAAGCTCCAAGGAACAGGGCCCTCCTATCCCTCTTGTATTGAACTGTATTGTTGCTGTATTGTCTCCCGTTATATTGTAAAGCACTGAGCAAACTGTTGGCGCTATATAAATCCTGTATAATAATTATATATATATATATATATATATATATATATATATATATATATATTTTTTTTTTTAGCGTTGCATTAAATAATACACAACACTGATAAAAAGGGTGTTGTAGTTAACTTTGCAATGCTTTGTACCAAAAATGACATTGTAGTGCCATTATAAATGGGACAAATTTTAATATGTCTGCTTCAAAATGCATGCTCCAGAATTTTTTTTTTAAAACTAACACTGATCAAAGTAAAAAAAAGTGCATTTTTACATCAAAACAATATCATCAAAAGAAAGCTTTGTTATCTTGAAAAGAAACAATCTATGTATTGCTTTGTTATCTTAAGTAATGACAGTTATCACACAAAAACAGGCCCGTGGCAGAAATGTAAAAACTGGTCTCATTTATAAATCCGCATACAGACGATGAGAATATCAGACGAATGATCATCCGTTTTTTGTTTTTTTTTTGGCATGCTAGTCTCATATCGAAAATGAAGAAATTACTCAAGTTACGAAAATTCTTGTACAAATAAAAATTCGGAAGTCATGTAACGCGTTGTATTGTACTTGTATTTTCGGAAGAAAACTGTGCTGATTAACCGCCTCCCACCCACCATATAAGGAAATGAAGGGCGCAAGGCGGTTCTCTCTTTCTGGGAAGATGTCATGTGATGTCCTCCCGCTCCAACCACGTGTGCGCGGCTCCGGGAGCACGCAGCGCGGCGATAGTTGGTGTGCTGTGTCCCTCGGACACAGCGGATCACCGATCAATGAAAAGAGCCGAAGATGTCAGCTCGGTCATATGATCAGCTGTGTCCAATCACAGCTGATCGCATGTAAATGCCGGTTATTGGCATTTCTCTCCTCACGAGCTGTCACGCTGACAGCTCGAGAGGAGAGGAGAGCCGGTAATCGGCATTCCTCAGAGGGGACATGTACACTGATCATCAGGGCACTGATGATCAGTGTGCCGTGATGATTAGTGTAGCCCCAGCAGTGCCACCTGTCAGTGTCCATCAATAGCACCTGTCAGTGCTCATCAATGCCACCTGCCAGTGCCCATCAGTGCCTCATCAATGCCACATATCAGTGCCTACCAGTGCATATCAATGTAATATATCAGTGCCCAACTGAGCTGCCTTTCAGTGTTACCTATCAGTGCCAGTTAGTGCCACCTATCAATGCTAGCCAGTACCACCTATCAGTGCTGCCAGTCAGGACCACCTATCAGTGCCAGTCAGTGCCACCTATCAGTGTGCATCAGTGCCGCATATCAGTGCCCATCAGTGCTGCCTAACAGTGCCAGTCAGTGCCACCTAACAGTGCTGCCTATCAGTGCCACCTATCAGTGCCATATATGAGTGCTGCCTTTCAGTGCCCATCAGTGATGCCTGTCAATGCCCATCAGTGCCACCTACCAGTGTCTCCTCATCAGTTCCCATCAGTGCCACCTATCAGTGCCCATCAGTGCAGCCTATCAGTGCCCAAAAACTAAAAAAAACCCTTTTTTTTCAAAATTTTCAGTTGTTTTTGGTTTGCTTAGCAAAAAATAAAAAACCCCAAGGTGATTAAATACCACCAAAATAAAGCTCTATCTGTCTCAAAAAAATGATAAACATTTCATATGGGTACAGTGTTTCATGACCGCGCAACTGTCACTCAAAGTGTGACAGCGCTGAAAGCTGAAATTGGCCTGGGCAGGAAGGGGGTATAAGTGCCCTGTAGGCTAGTGGTTAAAGGAAAATCAAACAATCTGGTATAGTACGAGAAAATTTTCATGCTTGACCCTTCAAATAATTTCAGATGAAATTACTAATGATCATCGCTTCGAAAGTGATATTTTTCATATGATTTTCTGATCGTGTGCACTAGGCTTGGGTAGTATGTATATGGCTACAGAAGATGAATGGTTAAGGAAAACAATGAAATAATAACTGAACATATGTTATCCTCTTCTTTAAAGGCAAATTTACCCCTGAAATGGGGCCCGCTTTGCACTGCAGGGGATAAAGCTAAGCTCTGGCAAAATGTAACCCTGCACTGCAAGGGTTAAAAGCCAAACTCCAGGTTTACTTTCACTTTAAAGTGGTTTTATACCTCAGACATGAAATATGAACAAAGCATATCCCTCTATAGTGTTTACTTGTCTCAGTCCAGAGCACTAAGTGCCATTTCTGCCTGCTGCCCTTTTCTTCCGCTATCAGAGTGAATCACTTTTGACAGGTTTTCCTGACACCAAGAGAAAAATGGTGACAGGGGAGGGACCTCCAGGTCTGCCCATCCCCTCCCCTCCAATCAGCTCTCACTGAGTTCTGCCATGTGTAACTTCAGCTCTCCCCTTTTTTCTGACAGTTCAGACAAGTTTATAAATGCTGGAATTTGAACTGATGTAGAGTAGAGAAGACCGTGGATAAATAGGTACAACTTGTGTAGGAGGATTAGTTCCATCTCTGTGTACTACCTAAGGCTAGTCACTTAACTGGGTATATGTAAGGGTTTACACCTACTTTAGTTCATTTGGTCTAATATATGATTGTGATGATTATTATGCTTACAGTTCATGAAAACCCCAAATCCACAATTTCAGAAAATTAGAATATTACATGCAATCAATAAAACAAGGATTGTACATAGAACAATATCGGACCTCTGAAAAGTATAAGCATGCATATGTACTCAGTACTTGGTTTGGGCCCCTTTTGCAGCAATTACTGCCTCAATGCGGCGTGGCATGGAAGCTATCAGCCTGTGGCACTGCTGAGGTGTTATGGAAGACCAGGATGCTTCAATAGCGGCCTTCAGCTCTTCTGCATTGTTCAGTCTCATGTCTCTCATCTTTCTCTCGGCAATGCCCCATAGATTCTCTATGGGGTTCAGGTCAGGCGAGTTTGCTGGCCAATCAAGCACAGTAATCCCACGGTCATTGAACCAGGTTTTGGTGCTTTTGGCAGTATGAGCAGGTGCCAAGTCCTGCTGGAAAATGAAGTCAGCATTCCCATAAAGCTCATCTGCGGAAGGAAGCATGAAGTGCTCCAAAAATCTCCTGGTAGACGGCTGCGTTGACCCTGGACTTAATGAAGCACAGTGGACCAACACCAGCAGATGACATGGCTCCCCAAATCAACACAGACTGTGGAAACTTCACACTGGACTTCAAGCATCTTGCAGTGTGTGCCTCTCCATTCTTCCTCCATACTCTGGGTCCTTGGTTTCCAAATGAGATGCAAAAGTTGCTCTCATCAGAAAAGAGGACTTTGGACCACTGAGCAACAGACCAGGGCTGTTTTTCTTTAACCCAGGTAAGACGCTTCTGTCCTTGTTTGTTGTTCAGGAGCGGCTTGACAAGAGGAATACAACATTTGAAGCCCATGTCCAGGATCCGTCTGTGTGTGGTGGCTCTTGATGCACTGACTCCAGCCTCAGTCCACTCCTTGTGAAAGTCCCCAACACTTTTGAATGGCCTTTTCCTGACAATCATCTCCAGGCTGCGGTCATCCCTGCTGCTTGTGCGCCTTTTTCTTCCTCACTTTTCCCTTCCACATAACTTTCTATTAATGTGCTTTGATACAGCACTTTGGGAACATCCAACTTCTTTTGCAATTACCTTTTGAGGCTTTCCCTCCTTATGGAGGGTGTCAATGATGGTTTTCTGCACAACTGTCAGTCAGCAATCTTTCCCATGATTGTGATTCCTACTGAACCAGACTGAGAGACCATTTAAAGGCTCAGGAACCCTTTGCAGGTGTTATGGCTTAATTAGCTGATTAGAGTGGGACACTTTGAGCCGAGAATATTGCACCTTTTCACAATATTCTAATTTTCTGAGATTGTGGATTTGGGGTTTTCATGAGCTGTAAGCCATAATCATCACAATTATGACAAATCACGGCTTGAACTATCTTGCTTTGCATGTAATGAGTCTATGTCATATATTAGTTTCACCTTTTAAGTTGCATTACTGAAATAAATGAACTTTTGCACGTTATTCTAATTTTTCGAGTTTCACCTGTACCTATACTGTATTCATATGATGCTACATACAAGTTATACAAAGCTAACAGCAGCCACATCAATGAGTAAAGAAAATAGTTCATTTGGGCCAGTTTGGCCCAAAACAAACTATTTAAAGTGAAAGTAAACCCCAGAATTAGGCTTTAAATGCTCTTTTTTTTGCCTAGGGCACCAGTAAAAAAGAACTTTTACATACGTCACCTCTCTATCCCTGGCAGCCAGCTCTCTTTTCTTTCCTTGGACACTCCAGGTTGTGGGTGAACCCTTGTCGTCCTCTTTGATAGTGCAGGTCTGCCAGTCCCACATTATACATTTTGACATCAGAGCTGTACCTACTGGATGGAACATCGAAGAGTTTTTTTGGTGGACTGGTCGCATGAAGAACAGGAAGCTTGCCGGAGGTAAAAGAAGTACTTTTACTGGTACCCTAGGCAAAAACGAGCATTGAACCCTTGCAATGCAGGGGAGGTCCCGCTCCAAAGGTAGATTTTTTTTTTCATTTCTCCAGAGTTCAACATTAGTGTAGGGGCAGGGGCGGACTGACAACTCATGGGGCCCCCGGGCAATAGGGGATCATGGGGCCCCTGTGTCCTTGCCCAAACTCAAAAAAGCCTATGAAAAACGTACCAGGGGCATCTCATGGGGCCCCCTACTGACTCTGGGCCCTCGGGCAGTGCCTGTGTTTCCAAATGGTCAGTCCGCCCCTGTGTAGGGGTGATGAATATTTTATTCATTGCTCTCCAATGCTCCTGGGTAATGGGCAAGCCCTTGGTGTCCTCACATACAGCACAGGTCCACTGGTCTTTCATTGTATGTGATGATGTTCCTGAGTTATGGTCGGTTTGAGCAGCGAAGAGGAGCGGCTTCAGGGGACAGGTCTTGTGAAGGGTAGGGAGCCTGCGAGATCAAGGAATATGATAAGTATTTCACGTTACTTCTACCCCCATAGGTGGAATGAGCTTTTAACCCTTGCAGTGTGGAGAGGAACCCACCGCAAGGGTAACTTTTTCTGCAACCTAGAATTCAGCATTAAGACTCAAGTCAAACAGCTAATACAAGAGACCAGATAATGAACAGAATTTCGGTGTTTAAATTATTGATCCAGCACGACACTCTTATGAAGCCCACTTTATAGAAGGGACAGAACTTCCTGTAAAAGCGAGAGAGAGGGCCCGTGAGCACTACACAGCTCTTAACATTGATTGCTATTGCAGCACTGCCTTCATTAATCTTTTCAGAATTATAAAGTTTGTTAATTACCCTTGATTAATTAGGGTTCTCTCAGTAATTGTGTCCCCAAGCTAAGTGTAGCTGCTGATAATTAGCGACCCAGAAAGCTGTTTTCAGCCAATTAGCGTAGTGCAAGGAATAGGACGAACCTGGACTTCCTTAGTCACAAGCCTTGCAATTGTTGGATCTATAGGGACTGAAAACCTAGAGCTAATTACTGTGAAATGAATATCTCACTGCTGCTGAACCCTTTCTCTGCCAGCCGGGACACGGCATTGTAGATCATAGTCAAGATGGCAGTATACAGCCAGATAGGACTACCAAGAAATCAAAGGTCAACCCACTCAAGAATGATATCTTCTTACTTAATGACGTTATAAGATACTAGCGCACATTGCAGAACGCAGGATTAGATTGAGGTTTTGGCTAATGTTTTGCTATTTTGCAATGACACGTGAAGAGTAGCAGTTCTTACATTTGTGATGTAAGGCAAGGTTATGGCAAGGTACTGCAATGTCCTGATAGATGGGGCGTCATTATGGCAATTATTCCAGACTCATTAAGAGGCCACTGATGAGTTCTCCAAGGCTAGAAGGCTGGAAACCACTGAGTAGTTCTAATGCTCTTGGCTCGTGTTTCCTGTTGTCGAATGGTGGCTGGCACACATTGCAAAGCACAATGAGCTGTAACAAGAAGTTTGGGGCCTTCAGAGGGAGGTGTGGGAGGTGGGAGGGTTCAGGCAGTGAACTTGGCAGTTTTTAGAAGCAAATTAGCCGAAATTCCCAAATTTGTTGAATTTATAAAAAAAAAAATGATGAACTTGAATTTCAAACTCAAAATGCATTGAAATCTTTAGATCATTTAATATATTCACATTTTGCCCTTTGGGAGGGCTGCTAGGCAAGCTGTTGTCACTCAAATGGCATTGAAAGCCCTACAGCCCCCCCTATTGAGTGTTTTTGTTTTGAGTGTGGTTTGTTGTCACAAAAAAAAAAAAAACACTTTTAGCCTGGGTTCACATATGTGCGGTGCGGTATATCGCATGTGATTCGCACAGGAACCGCACCGCATTCCTGTGCAAATCACATGCGATTTGTGTGCGGTGTGATTGGAGCCATACATTTTGTATGGCTCTATACACACCGCACCCACACCAAAAGCGTCCAGGA